TGTCTGTTAGGTTCGGCGCACACCAGCCGGGAAAGGGGGATGTCAGAGTTAGCGAGGAACATCAGGGAAGGCTTCCTGGAAGAGGAAGGACAGATATTCCAGCTCTATGCTGACTCAGGCAAAGAAGCCCCAGGGCCACCAAGGTCAGGAGGGAGACACTTACAGACACTCATGCACATGTATTCATTCAACAAACATTTATCGAGTGCCTACCACACTTACTGATGCTGAGGATACAGTGGGGACCAAGATGGATGAGGTCCCAACCCTCAGTGAACCACAGTAGTGTAAATTAATAAATAAGATTGCTTTATAAGGTATATTAAGAAGAAAATGACAGAGTGATATGAGAGACGAGAGGGATTCAGCAAAAGTGGGGGGGCTGACATGGGATGGGTGGTCTGAGGCACCTCTCTGAGAAGGTGACCTCGGAGCTGAGGAAGAGACCCTGGAGTCACAGGAGGATCTGGGGAAAGGGGGCCCCAGGCAGAGGAGGCAGCAAGTGCAAAGGTCGGAAGTCAGGAACAAGTTGGGCTGGGTTCCAGGAAACTCTAGGGCACAAATGAAACAGTGGTTTGAGATGAGGTAAGAGAAACAGGCAGGACCAGATGGTTTAGGGCCTGCAAGCCAAGGGGAGATGCTTGGATTTTACTTCAAGTGGGAGGGAGGCCCTTGGAAGGGTTTGAGATGGGGAATAACATGATCTGACATGATTAGTTTTTAAAATATTCCATTGGTTGCCATGTGGATAATGGATTACAGCAATAGGGTTGGGGCAGGAGGTGGAGGTGGGGGGCAGGAGTGAATGTAGGTCTGAGAAAGCAGAGGATAATGATGGTCTGGACCAGCGTAGTGGCAGTGAATGGACAGACTGAGGATATGTTTTGCAGGAGAGCAGAGGCACTGCCCCCAAGGCTGGATTCCTTTCCCCAAGACAGGATGTCCTGTGTGGATGGCATCAGTCCCATTTGTGAAATGGGTGAAAATCAACTTCTTCCACATAGAATGGAATTGGGTGGGCTACCTGGAGGAGGCGTTAAGGGAGGCTGCTAGTACATCAACCACATTTCAATGAAAAGAGAGGCTGCTTGGTGATCAGGAGCCAGAGGCCTCCACCTAGCATATGCTCCCCCTCTCTATGTGCACATCCCCCTACAGTTCACAGATGTTCACAAGGGGTGAAATGAGGCTTAGAGAGATAGAATATCCAACGCCACAGAGCACCCAGGGCAAGGGCAAACCCACAAACCCAGCATATCCACCTTGCCTCCTGATCCTCGCCCCAGTGGCTGTGATGTAGACAGAAGGGCAAGTGCTGGCCCCTTTCTAGAGAAGGTAAAACTGAGGCCCAGGAAAATTAGGTTATGTGTCCTGGGCTGGACTGTTTTAAGACCTTTATGGGCCCTACATCTATCTATCAAGCATATTAATATGCAGCCATATCAAACATCGAGTGTAAATTATATATAATCAGATGAAAGCCAAATTGCAGTTGACTGGCGGATATGATGTTCTGTTTTGCAGACATTTAATTAAACATTTATTAATTTTGATTCTACAGTTTTTCCCTATGTTTTAGAGCCAATTTTTCCCCCTGGCTTCAGACATTTTCCCAGGCCCATGAAAACCTTGCAGGCCTTTGGCAATGAGTGTTTAGTGCAGACTGGAAGGGACAGCCACGATTTTTGGTCCTGTTGCCAAAAGGGGCAGAATGAGGCTAAACGGAGACCCTTTTATCCCCAGACTGTAGCATGATCTTTCCATGCTCCCCGCTGACCCAGTGTTCTTGAGTCTCAGAAGTCTTTCTCTTCCTCTCCCGCTTCCTTGCTCCAGCCCACAGCAGCCCTGGGCTGGGTGAGCCCTTTGTCTGTAGTTCGCTGGGGCATGGGTGTTGGGAGCTGGCACGGGAGGGGGCAGGAGTGGGCAGGGAATTGGGCAGGCAGCCTGTCAGCTGGTGATGGATGCTGGCCGGGCCGGGGCCTCCCTCATGCTGACCTAGGCCAGGAAACAGATGGTCTTCCAGCCTGAGGGAAACTTCCAGGGTGTTGCCCTCCCCCAACTCCCCAGGCCCTTTCACATTGGACCAGCTGGTCTCTCCTTCCTGTCCAAAGCCAGAGCCACAGGACTGGGAGAGGGAATGGGGAGCAGGGAGACAGGCTGGGATGCCTGGTGTGCATTTGGGGCCCTCAGATGCTCTGGGGGTCATCTTGGTCTCTCTCTTAGTTGCTCCCACTTCTGGCATCTCCAGCTCTGTGCTTGGCCCCTTCCTCTGTGCCCTACCTTAACTCAGCCCTGTCATCTCATGCCTGGACCAAACCCCAGCCTCACCTGGCCTTCCTCCAAGCCAACCTTCCAGAGTGAGCTTTCTAAGCCACCGAGCTGATCATATCACCCCTGATTCTGGGACCGAATTCAGATTTAGAATGAAATATGAACTCTTCATTCCAAAAATTCAATGCCCTTCACAATTCTAGTCTTCCAAAGACCCAGGAAAACCCTCATTTCCAGGCCTGGCAAAACACTGCCCATTCCCCTAAAAAGCCATGTTCTCTTGTGCCTCTATACCTTCACTTCAGTTGGATCTTCCACATGGAATGCCCTTCTGTGCTTCCTGCATATGTTCCCATGCTTGCTTTAAAACAGATCAAATGTTTCTTCTTCCAGGACATCTTTCCTGACCCCCTTCCCCAGCTAAAGTTATCCATCTCCTCTCTGAGTTCCACAGCATCTTAGAGCATCTAGTTCAGCTCTTAGCTTATCTCTCTTTCCCATGTGACTATGAGATACTTGAGGGCACAGGGCCTAGCACATAGCAAGAGGTGAAGATACCCTCACTACGTAAGTGAATGTTCTAGTTGCAGAGATCCTTGCGGGGAACAGGTGATGGTAGGCAGGGGTCCAAAGAATAGTAGCCAGAAGGAGGCAAATTTCTGCTCAATCAGAAGAAACACAATTTGGCTCTTGAGCTGCTCAGAACTGAAGGCTCTGCCTCAGGAGGTAGAGTATCCCTGTTCTGAGAAGTGTGTGAACAGAGGGGTAAATGCACAGGCCGGGAACTGCCAGAGGGACTCCAGCGCTGGACAGGAGAGTTAGACTGTGGGGCCTTTGCATGTCTTGAGTCAGCTTCTGAGGGAACAGCCCTCTTCCCTGTCCTCACTGCCATCCCATAGTGTGTCACACTGACGGTGCATCTACCCCACCCACTGGTCCTGGGAAGACCCAGGGATGGGAAGGTGCGCCCTAAATGGGTGTTTCTGGCCAAGTTTTGGGGGGACACTTTGGGTCCCAGAATGTTAGTTCTGAAAGGATCTTCAGCGTCATCAACCCCATCCCTCTTGTCGGCAGATGGCAATGCTGAGGCCCAGCCCATTGCTCAGACTGGGATACTTATTTGGGGAGACTCTGGGGTTTAGCTGAGCACAAATTCCAGGGAGCACTGTGCTTCCTCTCTTGGGCTGGTGAACACAGTTGACTATAGAACATCGTGGAAATGCCAGCACTTCACATGTGGGAATAGACCCCCAGATCCCTGGCTCCCTGATTCTACATTCAGGTGATGTAGCCATTGAATCTGGTGGGACTTTCTCCCCTGATCTGGAGGAATATGACTCCTAAGGGAGCCCTCTCTGGTTTCAGCAGAGGGCACACCTGTCCTGTGCTTCAGAATTTGGGAGTTGAGTTTGCCAGGAGTGAAGCTGCTGGGCAAGGAACCAGGGCCAGGATCTGTGTGGACAGATCTTTTGTCACCCTAATGGGCATTGCACTTTATAGCTGCAAACTATCTCATCCATTTAATCCTAACAGCCACTTTAGATGGGATCAGCTAGGACTCAGAGAAGGTCTTCTTCAAAATCACACAGCAAATTAGAAACAAAGTCAGGAATTGAAGTCAAGTCTTCAGGCTCCCTTCCATACCTTCTACAGGGTCACCTGAGTTCCATTCAGTTAAACAAGTTTGCAGTCCTGCAGCCAACATGGATTGGCACCTACCATGTGCGAAGAACTGAGGGTGTAGCAGTTAGCAAGCCAACCAGTCATCCTTATGGAGTTCAGTCTGGGGGAGATGGATGCATAACCAGGCACTTACAACTCACTGTGACAAGTGCAACGTTGGAGGAATGCTAGAGAAAGCCCCTTACCTCAGATGGGGGTGGTCAGCAGAGGCTGCCTGAAAGAAGTCATGTCTAATACCTTAGCCTTGGATGAAAAGCAAAACTTGTCCAGGTTTAGGGCTAGGGTGGGGATTGAAAGGCAAGGCAAGGTGTTCCATGAAGATGAACGTGAGCATCGTGAACATCTGTGATGAGTGCAAAGCAGGTGGAGCTGTCAAGTTTGTTGTGAGCAGTTGGTACCAGAGGAAGCAGCCAAGTTTCAAATGCCAGGGGATCTCTGAGCAGCTTCCCTATGGGGAGAACTGGGCACTCAGAGGTGGGGTTGGGGAAAAGGCCAGGAAGCTGGCCACAGAACTGAAGGCTGGTACCTGAATGGTGCCTGAACCTGTATGTGGGCAACTCTTTATGGCTTACAGTGAGAGGCAGTGTTGTCTAATGGTTAGATTTGAATCCTGGTTCCACTACATCCTAGTTGTGTGACCTCGAACAAGGGACATAACTCTCTGGGCCTCAGTTTCCTCATCTATAAAATGGGGATAATAATAGGGCTAGTGTAAGCTCAGGGTAGCGTATCAGGAATCCTGCAAAGAAATCCTGCTGTAACTCGTCACAGCAATAAGTGATGTTGATAATGCCGTCTGAAAGGCTTGCTGTGTGCTAGTGCTTCAAGCTGGTGAACCCACTGGGAACAGCTCTGTGAGGTGATCCTTTTGCGATGTCCGTTTCACAGCCTAGGAAACAAGCGGAGAGCAGGAAGTGCCTTGCCCAGGGCTACACTACCCCCCGGCGCTTTGCACTTGCTGGCGGGGGGCGAGAGGCTGGCTGGGAGAGGGCGAGGGGGCCCAGCGCGCGCGAGCCCGAGGCCCTGAGCACCGCATCCTCCCGTAGGTACCTGCGCACCGTGTACCTGGGGCTGCAGAGCCGCTGGCGCGGGGAGCGGCTGCGGCGCCACTTCTACTGGCGGATGCTGTTCGAGAGCGCCGACGTGAGCATGCTGCGCCTGCTGGAGACCTTCCTGCGCAGCGCGCCGCAGCTCGTGCTCCAGCTCAGCCTGGTGGTGCACGAAGGCGGCGCGCCCAGACTGCTGCCCGGTGAGCCCCGCCCCGCGCCTGCGCGCCCCCGAGCCCCGCCCCCCGCGGCTCACCTGTCTCCAGGACAGAGGACAGCGCCCCTGGTCCGCTGCCCAGGCTTAAGGCCCCTTGGAGAGGCCCCGTCCACTCCCGCATCCTTGGGCCACTCACTGTCCGGGTTTTAGAGGCCCCACCCCTTCTCCTCTCCCCATCTTCCAGGCCTCTGGAGACCCCCCACGTCCCCGCCAATGGCTCACTTACTCTCAAAGTTAGGCGACACCTACGCCCCTCCGCCCCACCCCCTTGCCTCCTCTCAGGCCCTCTCCCACCCTCCCTTCCCCATTGCCAGGGCAGACGAGACCCCACTTCTGCCAAGTCCAGAGAGGCCCCTGACCCCATCACCACACTGCAGGCTCTCAGGGAAGTTCCCTGTCCGTTTCTTTCCCTAGACTGTCCCCATCCCAGCCTGCATCTCCTGGGGACCGCTCTGCCTCAGACCTTCTCAGTCACCACCCACTTCCAGAGAGCCTTTCCATCCCACCCCTGGCTGCTCTTCAGCCCCCTGGAGACCCCTCCCAGGTTTTGTCCTGGTCCCCATGTAGTCACCCCATGCAGCCACCTTGCTGTGCTGTGCTCAGTCCGTCGTGTCCGACCCTTTGCAACTTCATGGACTGTAGCCCATCAGGCTCCTCTGTCCATGGAATTTTCCAGGCGAGAATACTGGAGTGGGTTGCCATTTCCTTCTCCAGGGGATCTTCCCGACCCAGGGATTGAACTGGTATCTCCCAAGTCTCCTGCATTAACAGGCAGATTCTTTACCACCGCGTCACCTGTGTCAGAGGGAAAAAACCACATTCCCTATCTCCCTGGGGCTCCCACTCTCCTCCCACCCAGACTTTGCCTGACACACCCTCAGTGTTTCAAAAGAGTCTATCACCATCTCTCAGGTGCCCCGGACATCCCTTGCCCAGGGTCCCGGGCCCCTATCGAAACTTCCCACCCCAGCATTTTCTTCCCATGCCCTCAGCTGTGCTCAGCTTGAATATTCCTTTCCACGCCCCAGCCTCATCCTGGTGGCCTATAGCTTCTAACAGTCCCCTCTGGCTCTCCATTCCCTAATCATGACCCTGCTTCTTCACCTCCTTTTCACTCCCAGAGTCCTGGACCCTATTTTCCCACCCCCCCACCAAGACCCCTGAACCCTAACAGCCCCTACTAGAGCCCTGCACCTGACTCTTACAGAGATCAAAATCACCCACCTCCCCTCTCCCTTGACGTCCCCACCCCTGTGGAAGCACCTAACCCTACCACTCTCAGCCCTACATCTGTGTTCTGGAAGACCACCTACCCAGACCTTCCCCACACCCCTCTTGATTTAGAGACCCTGCCCCCCACACCTCCTCAGAACCCTGCTCCTGACCCAGACCCCTCCCCCTTTCCCCAGACCCCAACCCAGACCCATCCCTAACCCAGCCCCCCCCACCCCCACCCTGTCTCCGCAGCCCTGTCCATCTCCGCCTCGCTCGTGTCCCTGGCCTGGACGCTGGCCTCCTACCAGAAGGTGCTGCGGGACTCACGGGACGACAAGCGGCCGCTGTCCTACAAGGGCGCCGTGGCCCAGGTGCTGTGGCACCTGTTCGCCATCGCGGCCCGCAGCCTGGCCTTCGCGCTCTTCGCCAGCGTCTACAAGCTCTACTTTGGCATTTTCATCGTGGCCCACTGGTGCGTCATGACCTTCTGGGTCATCCAGGGTGAGACGGACTTCTGCATGTCCAAGTGGGAAGAAATCATCTACAACATGGTCGTGGGCATCATCTACATCTTCTGCTGGTTCAATGTCAAGGAGGGCCGCAGCCGCCGCCGCCTGGCCCTCTATTACTGCATTGTCCTGCTGGAGAACGCCGCGCTCACCGGCTTCTGGTACTCCAGCCGCAACTTCTCCACCGACTTCCACTCACTCATCCTGGTCTGTGTGGTGGCCTCCAGCTTCGCGCTGGGCGTATTCTTCATGTGTGTCTACTATTGCCTCCTGCACCCCAACGGGCCCATGCTGAGTCCCCAGGCCCCCGGCTGCATCTTCCCTAAGGCCCCAGGGCCCTGTGGCCCACCAGCTGATGCTGTCACAAGTCCCCCAAGGTCCCTGCCCAGGACTACAGGCCCTGAGCGGGATGGGGCCTCCGTGGGAGGCGAGCGTGCGGGGACCCCCACGCCACCTGTCTTCCAGGTGCGGCCTGGCTTGCCTCCCACACCTGTGGCCCGCACCTTGCGGACAGAGGGGCCTGTCATTCGGATTGACCTGCCTCGGAAGAAGTACCCCGCCTGGGATGCTCACTTTATTGACCGCCGGCTCCGGAAGACCATTCTGGCGCTGGAGTACTCCTCACCCACAACACCCCGCCTGCAGTACCGGAGCATCGGGACCTCCCAGGAGCTGCTGGAGTATGAGACCACCGTGTAGGCCAGAGTTCCCCGCGAAAAGGGTGAACTTTGGCTGATCCCACATCGACCACAGTGTTGAGCCCAGAATTGCAGGGCCACCAGGCTGAGGGCGAGTGGATCTGTTGGTCCAAGGGTAGAGTGGCCCCCATCGTTGGGTTCTTTCTTGGGAGGGGACAGCCTTGTGGAGCCCCAGCCCTTGGCCCTGTTTTCAACCCTGCGGCCCATTTCCTAAACTCTTTGGAACCAGGGCCCAGGGAACCAACTGGTGCTACACTCCTCGTGAGCTGCCCCACGTTCATGGAGGCCTCTGTATCAAGGCTGCTGCCAGGGGCCCCACACCTCTCCCTGCCTGGAGTTGCCCACCTGGCAGCCCTGGCGGATCCGCCAGAGGAGGGAGTTCATGACCTAGGCCCTATGCTCCTCAGGGGGTGTGGGGGTGGGCTGCCTCTGAGAAGGATGGAAGAGGCCACCGAAGATGTGGGGTGAGGTGGGAGCGTCTGGTGAACGAGGTTGGTACAGCCCTTGGGGGTCGAAGCCTGGAGCCTGGGCAAAAGGGGAATTAAAGGAGGGAGTTGGGGTGGGGTGGGAAGTTGGGGTGGGCTGGGCTGACAGTGCTGGAGGCGGCCAGGAGGAAGAACCCTGAGACATCTGACGGGTCCAGACTGGCAGAAGCATGAAGGGGTGGCAGATTTGGGGGAGAGGAACTTGACCTGGAGCGTAGAGAATGTTCCTCAGGAGACCCCCTTTGTTGTGGGTGCTGTTACGGATGAGGTTCTAGGCACCTCAGGTGAAATGTTTCAAGGAGCCTCTCTTTGTTCTAGGTGAGCCTCTGGAACATTTCTTCTAGATAAAGGTTTTGAACACAACAGATAAACTGCCTGGGAAGATACTCTGTCCAGGTTCGATTGTAGATGAGCTGCTGGCACATTCAGCAGAGGAACTTCTAGAGAGACATTCTTTGTTCTAGACTAAGTTCTAGGACACGTAGCTGATATAATATCCTAGGGAGTCACTCTGACCTGTATTCTGTTATAAAGGGTGCAGACACTGGCACCCTCTCCCGTGCTGTGGCAGGGACTCTAGGGGAATGGGGGCTCCAGACCCCTGTGTGAGTGGAATATTCTAGGAATGGGTACCCCAGTTCTAGACTTCTAGGGTTTATATGAGTTCTATGCCCCTGTGAGCCTTGGTCCATAGCCATCTTCCCAAGAAGAAACTGTCCTCAGAACCTCTGAGACATTTCAATTTGCCAGCTGGTTTCCAGCTGGGAAAAATTAGCTATGAGGACATGACATGAATCTTGGCTTTTAGCCACCTTGCAGATGAAGCTCCCTGGAGCGGCAGCTGTAAAACTGACTTGTTTTGCCTCAGATCTGACAACCCTCCAGGACCCAGGGCCCAAACACCCCAGGGCATCCTTGTGACCACTCAGCTGGCGTCTTTTCTCTCCACCTGGGACAGCCAGTCCTGGAGTGTTGGGGGTACGGGAGCCGAGATGAAGGCAGTTTTGTGGGGTGAAGGGCCAGAGCCTCTAGGTGAAGCTTGGAACCCCTCCCCTCAAAACCTCCTCCCTCGTGCCTACTAAGGCACGTTCACTGCAAGGGCTCAACAGGCAATACTAAGGACACATGCAGACCTGGGCTGGATGAGGTGGATTTAAGAATCCTAGACTATGCAAATTAGAGGGGCAAATTAGCCCTTCAGAGTTCAGCCTCCCTTGGGTTAAAGATGGGAAGTGAAGCCCAGAGTGGCAGCTAGTCTCACAAGGTCCTAGATTCCCGGCTGTCCCATCAGATAGTGACGGGTGACAGTGAATTTGCTGAAGGTGCTGGAAGAGGGCCACACTCAGGGTGTGCAGGGTAACTCCAAAGGCAGAAAAGACAGGACTGCACACACATACACACACACACACAAAAGCACATGGCACCCCCATAACACATCACCTCAACTTCCCCCCGCAGCTCCTCTCCAGCCCAGGATGGTATATACCTCCTTCCCATCTACATACAATGAGTGTCCCTTCTCTCTTCCTTCTACTTCTTTGATCCCTGAGATGCCTCAGGAGCCAGGCCTCAAGGTGACGGGGGTTGGGGGAAGCCCAAGGTTGACCTAGACTCTTTCTGGTGGGTTCTGTCATCCTCCTTGTCCTCTGTCCATCTGTTTTCAGAAATCAAATTCCATGGCCCTTTGTGAGGTGGGCGCATTGAGGGTATGGACCCAGATCTGATCTATTGCTTCTCCTGGGTTGTCTGCAGCAGGAGTTTTCACCCTGGACTGTTTCACTTTGACTCCCCAACGCTGGCAACATCCTGACAACAGAGGTGATGAATCTTACAGAGGAAGAAACATGTCCCCTCAGAGAGGTCCATCTGGCTGCCCCATTACCCAGCATCCTAGAAAGAAAAGTTTAGACGACCCTCCCTGGGAGCTGACAGCTCCAGGGGCTGCCCAGAGAACCAGAGTAGAGACAAGCAGGCAGTGCCGACATGTGGCTGCAGGCTCTCATTTTTGGATCATACTCCACCCCTAGCCCCACATCGTCTCAGTCCTACAAAACCTGCCCTTAAAGGCCTTTGCTTGCAAGGACATCTGAGCATCAGAAGCCGTCTTGGTCAAAGGGCCCAAAGGAGGGGGTTGCAGGCACCTTTTGCTTCTCATCCTTGGAAAGGCCTCTTTTGGACTCCCCCCTCCCTCTATACCTAGGAGCTCAGCACTCCATCCCTCCCAGGCCTGGGGCCCCTCTCTGCTGACCTGTTGCCTCCTTCATCTCATCCCTGCTGGTTTCATTGGGTTGGAGGAGTCTGTGCGGAAGGGTCACCATCCCATTCGAGCTATTTTATTTTCCTTTCTGTGACACAGTCTACCTCAGCCAGTCTCTCTTCCTTGCCAGAAGTGGACACCCTGGGTCCTTGCCTCCCGCTCCCCATTCCCTTTCCTCCACCCTAGCCTGACTCAATCCTTCCCAAAACCTCTAGAGGGTGCTTGCAGTGAGAACCACAGCCCAGAGGGGACTTCAGAGTCCCCTAAGCCACCTATCCTCCACATCTACTAGAAAGAAGAAACGGAAGCCCAGAGAGCACCAGGGACTTGCCCAAGACCACACAGGAAGTCCACGGCAGAGTTAGGTTTTCCCTGGGGATGAGAGGTAGCCATTCAGTCGCTACATCATGTCCGACTCCTTGCGACCCCGGGGACTGCAGCACCCCAGGCTTCCTTGTCCTTCACTGTCTCCCAGAGTTTGCTAAAATTCATGTCCATTGAGTCAGTGATGCTATCCAACTAAGTTGGGCCCATCTTAATTTGATCAGGGAAAGAAGAGAACAGGATGCTCTAGGTATCAGATATGCTGGGCCCTGCCTTGCCATCAGTATCTCAACCCCTAGGAGACCATGTCCCCAGGGCAGACTTCTAGCTCCCAGGTGTTTGGAGTTGATGTCCCAGGCTGCTGACTGTGCTCCCCAAACCTCTCCAGGCAGCACACCCCCTCATCACACCCCCATGCACTGATGTACCATGTGCCTTGTGACTATCACCCTGGTTGGACAGCACAGAGACCTCCATCCCTCCCCTGCAGGGGGTTCCCCAACAAGGAAGTCTTTCTTGGTCCTCTCCTTTCATCTGTCTCATCCTCCTGTCTCTCCCAAATATCTTCTACCCCCAGATAGCTCCCTACTACACCTGTGTCCTGCAGAGACATGTCACCCATGAGAGTTAAAGAAAGCAGAGGGCAGGGAGGGCAAGCCCTGGTCCAGGTCTCAGGCTCAGGGCCAGCAGGACTAGGAGTATCCAGGGAAGGTCTTGCCTGGCAGTCCCAGTGCCCTCCTAAGGGCTAAAGTCCCACAAGTCCCTTCCCTTGGAGATCACCTGGGCTGAGAATTCGTAGGAACCTCAGGCAGTGGGGAGATTTCTGGGGCAGGAGTGCATGGGATGCAAATTCAAGTCCCTCCCGTTAATGAAAAGAAGAGAACTAGAGATGCTGGACAGGAAAGCATGCCGAGGACTCTGGGAAACCAAAGAGTGCAGGCCCTGCCTATAGCAACTAAAATTCAGAATTTTGAAAAATCCAGTCCTGGCCAAACTAAACACTTTTATTTGACCCATGGGCCAGCAGTTTGAAACCTGGTTCAAAATGTTGGTATGGTTCTGGGAAGTCCTAAAGAATCTGGAAACTCCTTTGAGACTTTTCTAGTCCAACCCTAAACCCCCACAGCTTAGCCACGTGAAAGCAGGCCCTGTGCCCTCTCAGCTGAAAAGGCCAGGGAAGTCTGGGCGTCTGTAAGGTCCCTGGTTTGGGAACTATCCACCAGTAAGGGCTACAGGCCCCTCCAGAGCCTGAGAGGGCAGTGTAAAACCTGGGGTCTTCTCCAGTTTGGGGCCCCCAGTTAGGAAGAAACTGTTTTGGGATGAGAGAGAGTTCGGGTATAGGCAGAGAGGACTGAAGGCCAGGAGCCAACTGCCCCCATCCTGGGCTGGGCCATGCCACTCTTCAACAGGCACCCTGAGGATGGCCCCATCCCAGGTAAGGCCTGCAGGCGGAGGAGCTATCAGTTTCTGTACTTCTGTGCTTTGTGATGTTTCAATGAAAGATTACAAGCGAGTGCCAAGCCACATGGGCAGCAGTGGAGATGGGGCTGGTGATGCCACTTCCCAGCTAGAGGGACTTCTGAGACCCTGGGGCGGGGCTAATGTGCCCTTCTGTTTGGGGAGGGGCTAGGACATTCCCAGTTCTTAGTTGCTACAGGTAGAGGGGAGGGGAGGAAGACAGGAAGTTGTGGAAGTGGGAAAGGAAGTCCTGATCTAGGGATGGCCTGGTTCCTGGAAGTAGAAACCTCCCCCCACACCCCCGCAGGGAGTGCAGAGGAGAGGGGCAGAGTCCTACTGTGCTCTGCCTCCTTTAGCCTTCCCTTCTCCCAGCAAGAAGGGGGCTGCCTTCTTCCCAGCAATCCTGGCCTTTGTTCTATGCACAGTCTTTGTAAGGGCACCCCCAGGCCAGGCTGAAGGGATGGGGGCCCTGGAGCACCTGCAATAATTCCAGAGTGGAGGGTAGCTTGAGACAAAGAGTGAGAATGGCAAAGGATGTTCTTCCATCTCCCTTTCCCCCCAATCCCAGAA